CGGCTCCGCATCCCAAAACCACGCCACGACATCGTGTTTCTCGTGTCAGTGCCACAGCCCCGTTTATAAATCAGTTCGTCGATACAAGGCTCCTGCCCCGCTGTCGCCTGGTCTCCGCAGGAGGTGATGAGGAGCTTTCGGGTGAGTCCGCAGGTGGCTGTGAATCTGTCTGCCGCTTTCAGACGTGACACGTGTAGGTCTTGGCTCCTACTTCAGCATGGGATAGGCTTGAAGGTTTGTTTGATGTTCTCCATCAGCATTAGGTCGTACCTGCATAGCTGTGGTCTGCATAAACACAGTAACACAAGCCAGAAAGTGAAAGATCAGCCTAGCTGGATCACCTCCCAGTCAAGTGTCCCAGCGTGCTTGAGGCTCACATTAAATAAGTCACATTCTCAAGACAGCTTGAAGTCTAAAGTGAGACTGACCTCAAGCCTTACCGAGGTCAGGGATATCTTGACCATATTTTCATTCTGTTGTATGTTATCTTTTGCTTTTCCTTGTGGAAAAGTGAACACAAAAGCCAGCAAAAAAACTGAGGTATTGGCTATGGAATTCATGGTTCCCTCTAAGCCAGTCTACACTTGTGTGCCCACTGAGTGGGGTGGTCCTTCCAGCTGACCAGTTCCCTGGTGCCAGCATTAGGCACTGTGCCAGCAGTCACAGCTGGGACCAGGCATTGATCTGTCTTAGAGCTAGAACAGGCAAAACACAGAGGAAACACTTAGGGTTTCAGCTTTGGCTGGAAGTGACCACGGAGATAGGGAACAGGAGAAAGGGAATGTCAGCAATGGGGAGCTGCAGAATGACTTTTCCTGTTAGATATACACACTCTTTTCCTTATTGCAAGGCTAAAATAAGGGTAGCTGACCTTCATCATCTGCAAAGAAGTATGTTCTGTAGCTCTGTCCTTTTTTATTTTGCTTCACCCTTCTCACTCTGCCATATGCAATCCTTGTTTTAACCCAAATTTAAAGCATGGGATGGCTTGATGCCCACATACTGTCCTTGCACACAGGGTCAACCTAAAAGATTCTGTAGTTGCTGAATTCAGGTAGAGATCCCATCCTCCAAAGGTGCCCTAGAAATCAGGTAAGCTTAAGGGTAGGACTGTAGAGCAGACAGGTGGCTGAAGCAGCTGTAGAAGTCTCATCAGCAGATGAGCTGGTAGGTGCCTCACAATGTGAACAGTAACCAGTGCTTTAGGGCATAGCAGCCAGCAGCTCCCAGTTACTGGAATTCCAGGAGTAACTTAATCTCACTGCTTGACTGGACTTAGAAATTTGCTGGGTTATAAAATGTGTGTTTGGGGCTGGATATCTGTATTGCATTTACCTTCAGCCCTGAGTTCAGGCCTGGGCAGCTTCTCAAAGGTCATATTCCTGACCAAAGGTAAAAAGTTCAGGCCACGTCAGAGTCAGGCCACTAATCGCATGTTTTCAGTATCATAAGACAAAGTCTGTGTTCAAGTAGGTATTCACCTGTGGGATTTGTGTGTATGCACTAAAGACAGCATTATTCCCAAGATAGGTGTACAAGAATAAAATGTGAAATAAATGTAATTCTTCTGGACAAACTCAGCCAGGAATCTGGGAGATTGATTCACTTCTGTCCAGTCTGCAACAGTAGCAATGGCTTGTAAACCTCTGCTTACCTTTCTGGATTTGTAAGTGACCGGAACCTCATTTGGAGAATCCTAATTTTGAATTTGGGGCCAATGACAGTTCCTGTGGAAAACGTCAAGGAAATTCTTTCTATGTTTTCAAAATCCTGGTCAAATCCAATTAGCAAAGTGATTTGGTTGTAACGCTGAAAGGCTGCAGCTTCTCTAAAGATAAAGCAGACAAGGTGTTGGAGAGTCACTAAGGGAATAGCACCACTTTTACTATATTCAGTATAATATTAGAAACAGTGCAGGAGGGGAGGACTGAACTTACAATTAGTTTCTGATTGACAGGAAATTCAGGTCTCCAGGTGGGAACCAGCTCAGCCACTTTTGCACTCACTTATTTGGGGTGAGAGTGGCGACACAGAGGTCTGATGCCATATGCTCTGGTCCCAAACCAGAATCCTCACTGTGATTCTGTTTTGAACCCAAGTGGACCAGACTCAAATGATGTTTGTACCTGGCTGTGTGTGCAGACCTGAACACTGAGTAACCTGTGGAGTTTGTGGAATACATTGCTGTATGTAAACATCTGTTTGTAACAACACTGTATGGCTGAGGAAGCTCTATAAATGGAATACTGTGCCTTGGGGGTATTAATGCCCCTAGCTAAACTTCTGGTAGTTCTCTTCTGGCAAATGCAGCAGAAGCATCTGTGAAACAGTGCAGTGTTGACTGGAATTAATGGAGAGTAATCCAGCTTTCTCAGGATAGGAAAATAGCACAGGCTTAAAGCTGCGAAGCCTCGCAGGGCTGAGGTTTGACAGAATGGCCAGTTCCTCTTTGGGATACGCATGATAACTGCATGGGTCTTGGTGCAGAAGCAGCACAACTATGGCTGTGGCTGCACAAACATTCTTTATGTCACTGATTGTATGGCCATTGTTTAAGGTTTTCCCTTATGAAGGTGAAGAGTGCAGTTGTGATGAAAGTGTATCCCGGTTGCAATGCTCAGAATGCCTGGTCTTGTTTAGAAGTTTCAGGAGTCTGACAAAATAGGGCAGGTTTTAACCTGTCAAAGGTGTTTCCGACGTGTGTGTGTGTAGGCAAGCTGCCTGGTGAGCTGCCACACGCTCACTGGTCCTGCTGTGCAGCCCCAGGGAGCTATGCAGATAGCTCCAGTGCAAGCAGATATGGCTAAGAGAATATGCAGATAGAGAAAACTGGTTGAACAGGACTTGTTTGGCTGACATGTGTTATGATCAATCAGGAATTCGCATGTCCACATAAGCACCAGTCACTAATTTGCCTCTCCAAGTGAAATGAATTGATTTGGATGTTACATATTCAGGCTCAGGTTCACCCCAGCTGTCTTAGGCACCCAGAGCTGGAACGGAACACTCCCTGGAAGGGAAGGAAAGAGGGGGAGATTTGTTTTTCCTCCTGCTTTAGTGGAAATGTAGGACAGCTGTGTCCCTGGCTGAGACTGTCCACTTCAGTCCTTTAGATGACTGAGAAGAGCCCACACCAAAGGCCTGGGCTGTCAGCTGCTCTGCAGCAGGGGAGCCTGTCACAATTGCATGGGGCCAGGAAAGCCCTAAGGCATGTACACTGCCAAGTACCAGCAGGGAAATGAGAGGAGGGTATCTTGCCTCCTCACAGATGCAGTTGAACCAAGTGGTTTGCTAGCAGACCATAGATTGGTAAGACTTACGGGTTAACTTTAGATTCTGCCTCCTTCCCAGTTTCATCAGCTAGTACAATGTTGAAGGTGCCTCTTCTGGTGTCTTTGTTCCATGTAATAATATCCACAAAGTAGTGATAAACTGGGGGGAAAGAGAGTGCGAACGCAGTCAGACTCTGCATGCTCGCTCTGCTTTCCAGCCCAGCTCTGTGCCTGTCTGGAGCTGAGCTGTGGTCGGAGGATGTCTTCCTCCTACTCAATTCATCTCTAAAACCTCTTTCTCCATCCTGCTTGCCATCTCCCTTTGCAGACATTGCTAGCAGATATTAAGGGATGTGTGGGAGACCCCTACAGCAAGGGTTACACAAATGGCATGCAAGATGGCCTTTCAGCACACCGTCTCTCACTCCCTGCCTTCCCCATTTTGAGATTGCCTTTTCTTTCTCCTGTCTGCTTCTGAATGTCCACTTATGAACCCCCTTCATTTCTTTCTTACCATTTTTCATTTGTCTTTTCCATCTCATAGCAGAATTGTCTGTTCTTTCCTTCGATTAGTCAGTCACAGAATTCACTTGCTGACCAGCCATAATCCCTGCCTATAGCTTGGTATGTTGGTGATCATGGAGGTGGGCAGTAATCTTGGGGAAACCCTTTTTACACCAATTCCCCCTTTCCTGGGCCCTTTCCCTGTGCCTTTTGCTTTTGTCCAGGATAGCTCTTTTACCTGTTCAGCTCAGAGCATGCCTTTGACTCTCATTGCTCCCACACACCTTTTCCTTGCACCACACCTTGTGGTGTGTTGTTTTGAAACACAGTTTAGGAACTACCCTTTTATGTTTCATTTGCATGTACTCGGCAAATTTCCTAGCACTGTAAGCAAGATGAGCCTGTTCTTACACATCTCTAGTGAGCAACTGGCTTTCACAGCACCAGGCAGGTTTACAGATAAGGAATGTAATGGCAAGGCTGCAGATGGACACAATTCAATCCAGCAGCTGCTGGCTTTGCTTCTAAAATGCTGCCTATGATGCCAGTTGCAACTAAACATCACTGCTCAGCTGTTGCTGAAGGAGGCAATACACAAAGAAAAATAATCTCAGAAATCTTAGTCACTTACTGCAGAATGGCTCTTTGTCTGCCGTATCAAAAAACATACTTGTCACTGGATGGCTCTGTTGTGTTAAATAGCTTTTCCACTCATGGGCATAATAACCTATAGATGACAGTTTGGAAAGGAAACAGAATTACTGCACAGGTATATAAGCAACTAAATTGCCTAAAATAACAAAGCAAGATTTAAGAAATAGCATATTGCTTGCCAGATGCAAGGCAGTGCTGTGACACATGCTTCTGGGCTCTGCAGACTTGTAGCAGGGCTAGGTTTTACCTGTGTAACTAAAGCCCACTGAGTGTCTAAATATGCCTGGTTACTGTACAACACCTTAACACTGATCTTTCTCCACATCTGATGACCATCCATGGTCAAAAAGGTCATTAATTTTGCAGTGCAGAATGAAAATCACCCCCTTAGCTTTGTGAGTTCATTTCTGGAACTGTCAGGGGTTTTAGCATCAGCATTTCAGAAATGGCAGCCTTAAGCTGGGCTGTCACATCCAGGCTGGGACACCTCTGTGGGTCAGTTACAAACACCCAGAATACCCTTTGCTCATCCCACTGCCATTCCTTTTACAGTCAAGAGGGCTTTGTGGCACTGAGAATTTCTTAGAAAAGGTTCTGTTTTAGCGAGAACCTGCCCCTATCCCTCAGACTCTGCAACTAGTGGGCTTCAAGTCATTGTTTCTGTGACTTTTGTGTAAAGATCCCAAGTCTTATTTTGGCTTTTCTAGTTCTGGATCCTTTACATGTGCATTTTGTTCTAGACCGTAACGCGATGTGACCGTATAAAGAGCAGGGACGTTTCTCAGGCCTGTTTTGCCTGCAGCAGGGGCTTGTACCTCTGCAGAAGTCAGGGAGACACCATCTCAAAAACCTCAGTGGAAATAACTGACATGCTTTTGCAAAGCACCGTGTTGTTTTTGCCCTTCAGCAAAACACTTGTCACACTCCAAGTTACAGTAATAATGAGCAGCTCTGTCAGACACGTGTATTCAGGATGTATTTACATTCCCTGGATCCTTACCTAGGATGGGGCATGGCATAGGCCAGAAGGTTTTGCAGCTGGCACACTTGCCATTCCGGTAATTCCTATAGGAGTCGCACGGGTATGCAGTGATATTGCAGCTCTGTTTCAGGGATGACATGAACAGGAAAACAGACCTCTGGTGGTCACATTTAAAATACTGCAATCCTTAATCATACACAGGGAAGAAATACTTTGTTAGCAACCCTCGTGCTTCAGGAGAACAGTATTAATGCACTAGCTAAAAAGGACAATCACTGGCCAGTCTGAACACAGCAGGTTGCACTGGAGAACACGGGGCTGTGGCAGAACACTAACTGGGCACTGGCCTCTCCCTTTGAGTGCACTCAGCTCTGCCTATGTCAACTATGAGTTCTCTTCTTGTCTTTTTTGATTTTAAGACCATATTTGTTCGTATTGTTAGTGCAGTTTTAGAGGATCCAGCTGTGGACACTATTCAGTGTTAGGTGTTCTTTTTTGGTGTAAAAAACTCTTTAGAAAGACATAAAAATAAAAAGAGTTGTTGCATGAGCAGCAAAATGAGTGAAGCCTCATTTCCATAATAAAAATCCATATTTCCAATGGAATTTTGTTTCAGGCTGGTTTCCTATGCAGATTCTCTTGGGTCTGGAAAGGGTTGAGTTCACATTACTGCCTTTTCTTCTGTGAGATATCTTCTTCACCCAACTTACATAAAACCAGTTCTGCTGCCAGGCTGGAATGGATAGAAGCTTTCTTGCACTCAAGACTAGGGCTCTGCCTTCCAGACTGCACTGTCTGTCACTGCCAAGAAAGGTGCATTGGATTCATTATAACTGTCTGCCCCACATTCATCTTGAGCCTGTTTTCTGAACAGGTTCTTGCCATTGCCAGTCTTTGGAGTTTTGTGTGTGTTCTAAGTAGTAGTAGTAATAATAATAATAATAATACCACCACCACAGGTTTTCTAAATGTAGTCACAAAATAAAGGCACAAATCCACCTGATGACTTTGTGCATGGAAAATTAATCCTGTTTGCATTTGTGACAGAACAGGATTACCCCTGACTCATATGTCTGCCTGATACACATCAGCTAAACCCCTGTTCCATTGCTGTGCCACATCAGTGCTGGGAAGAGACTGCTGTTGTGGTTTTCCCAGAATTTGGGTTTCATGTGTTTTCCAAGCACTGATGATGTTTCTCTGGCCTTCTCCTCTTTTCCTGTCAGTGTTTGTGCAATTCAAGGCAGAATTAATTACCAGAAAATATTGTCAGTGGGCAGCCAGGCTGGTCGGTCCCACCGTTGGGGTAGAAGTCTATGTGGCCTAATGCTTCTCCGTACCCTAGTCCTGACAAAAGAAAATACGAGAGGTGAGGGAATATTGAATCGTAAAATGCAGAAGAAGGAAATGTAAGAAACCAACTAGGGGGGAAAAATAGTTATTTAGCTCTAGGATGCCTGCCTCTGCAGGAATATTAATGTCATTCATCTGTTTAGGCAGCAGGCCAAACGGTTGTGACCCAGCTGTGTCATTTTAGCAATGCCATCAAATACCTAAAATAAGTCTGTGCATGTGAGAGTACAAACTTTGGCTTTTTGTGTCATTGTGTGTGGGAGAGGAAAAGGGATGTGAAACACAGGGTGTTGCTGTGCTGTTGAAGTCTGCATTATTGGAAGGGTTGGGAAAAGATGAGAGGCAATAAGGTGAGAAAGCCAAGCCCAATGGGATGGGATGCTAGTGTGAGCAGAGCGGAGGGCTTGCATCGCACTTGCTGGCCTGGCTGTGGGTTTGAAGATGTTCTGTGCACTGGCTGGGAAAGGAGAGGGCAGAGGGAGTCCACGTTCATCCTGGAGGAGGGTTTTAGTCTATGGGAGGTGGGGTGAAGAGTGGAAGCATCATGCAGGGAGCCACGGGCTTGGGAGTAGCTGATCTGCTGTGCAAGGCATTGAGCTGTGTGACTGGCTTTTGGGATGACCCTGCAGTGTGAGGTTAGTGTGGAACTGCTCTGCCAGCATTGTGTGCTGATAGCAACAGAGCACCCCTGCACCAGTGCCTAAGTCCTTGCTTTTCATGGGCCATGAGGCTATAATTGCCACAAACCAGCAGCATGTTTGAAATGCAAACAAAACAGCAGCTCCTGAGGGAGTGCTGATGACAGTGAGGACAACACAGGGACACAGAGCCCTTCACAGCACCGCTGAAGGAGTCCTGCTGTCCTCCTGGGATAAAGGAGCACGGATCACTGCTGTTTACCAGAGCCCCTGCTTTCCCATGCTCCCCATCAGTCCTTAGGTTTCTTTGTTATGGTAAAGAGGACACACGTCATGTACCATCGGTGTCTGAATGAATGACATCAACAAACTGTGCATCTGTAGGGTCCAGCCTCTCACTGGGTGGCTTTCCTCTGTACAAGGGGCCTGCTGGGTCAAGGCCTGCAACACAAAGCCAGGCACATGGTGTCACTTCAGCACTGACTCTGCTCATGGAGAACAGCTATTCTTGAAGCAAAAGCACTCACAGGAGGAAGAGCTTACCTGTGATTCTTCCAAGTGTGCCATCAAACATCTGCCCCACAAAGCCAGAGATGTGTGCTCCCAGGCTCACTCCTATCATGTGCATGGAGTTAAGGGATGCTCCATCAATCTGAAATTTAAAAGTACTCGTGCTCACAGATTTTAGGCACATGAAAGGCATAAACAATAGCAGGAGAAGGAATGTAAATACACCTCCCTACTTCTCCCACATCCTCGCTTGGTGTGTTACACTCTGTAAATGTTCGCCCTTTGATGGTCCCACAGTACCACCAGCACTCATGTTTGAGGCCTGCAGCTCTGAGGCCTGTGATGAGAACCACTCAGGCAATGGTTGTATCTTATTGGGATGGTAATTACAAGTGTGGAAGGAAGGAATATTCATCAGCCCCATGAGTACAACTCTGTTTGCCCCACATGTGGTTCCTGCAAGAATTCCAGTGTCATCATTGCCTGTGCAACAGCTTAGAGAAGCTGCAGTAACGGATGCCCGTAAGCTGACTTTTGGATGTACAGAAGGTGGAAATAGAGTTTCTATGATAGGGAAAACACATCTGTAGAGTTTTTTATCCAGATATGTAGAGTATAAACTGAATATTGAGACAAAATACCACCATACTAAGTCTGAGGTTAGAATCTGGCACTGCAGTATAGTGCTGTGTTTTAAAATTGCTGCTGTTTTAAACACTTTGTTTGTGCTGTTTCCATATGGTGCGTTAATGACTGTATCATAGTGTGAGCTTTCAACTTACCAACATCTTATCAATCAGTTTCTTCAGAATCTCAGCAACTTTTTTGCAGTTTCTGGAAGCATGGCTGTAGATGAGAGTTGTTGCCCCATGGTTCCAGTCCACAACGATGACATTCATGTCTCCTACAGAGAGCAGGAGATGTACCAAGTCAGGGATCCAGACAGGGGCAGAGCCTGTGAGTCGGTATCCATGGATGATGAAGGTAGTTTTCTTGGTCACATCCAGATACTTGGAGACTGGTGAGTCGAGCTCTTCAGCACAGGTTGGGTTCTGTCTGGTGTAGAGCAGCAGCTTCACTTTCAGATGTGTCCCTACCAAAGCATTGCCGATGCTGAGAGCTGTGAATGCAGGGCATGTCTCCCCAGGATCTGAAAACAGCACAGTGTGGCAATCCTGAGGTTAGCACCAACATGTTTGCATTGATCTCTTCTTCCTGACAGCCCTGCACAGGCGCAGGAACATATGTTGTGAGCTACTTTCCTCTCCATCATGTTCATGACTGGAGTTACCCCGAACCCTGGGCTTTCTTGCCATGTTGGAACAAAGACAGCAAGTGTACCATCTTGGAGCAGCACAATCTCGCTTCCACTAGCAGCTGGGAGATGGCATATACTCTCTCCAAGAATCCCGTTAGTGTGAGGAGGGTATTAGAGACTGACAGCTAGGATGGTTGCTTTATTGGTTTGCGAGCACGCTCAGATGCTCTGGACAGGTTCTAGGGTAAAGAGATACCTTCATGGTTTGTTTGTAACTGGAACTGACAAGCTGCTGAGGATCTTGCTGTTGTGAGGGACAGCTCAGTGCTTCATTTGTATTTGCAGATGCAGCCTGCTGTTTCAGACCGCAAAATGGGACACCCTTTGACTGCATGAGGTATGTTACTGATACTGTTTTATACACAGCTGACGAGTAACTCAAATTTATGTAAGTGCTGCTTTATGGGCTGGTCGCTGCCATTTGAAAGCCTGTCTTTGTTCCTTGCTTTTCCAGCAGAACACCAGCTGAGCCTTCAAAGTCCAATACAATCTCCAACAGAGCACTGGCAGGGAATGGAGGAACTGTCTCCAGACAGACACTGCTTATGAAGGCTCTCTCAGGTTTTGTAGCCTCATCCTGGGTCACAATCCTTTTCTGCAAATCCCCTTAATCTTATTGAATAACCTTGTGGGAGAGAAAGTCTCTCTCACACATACAGCCTGGGCCGCAATTAATTGTTCAGGCTGCAGTTGCTAGAGGAATCTTCCTGAGCTCTGTTGTTTGAGGGGCTGTGCAGTAGGTAGAAGGGTTTAGAAACCCCACAGCTGTAAGCTAATTGAGCTTCAGCAAATCTCCATTGCTCTGTGCATTTCAGTTTCTGAATGATGAAACTCTCACAGTTTCTATGAGCAACTTTCCCTGTTCTCCTCCTATGGAAATCAGAAGCGTAAGAGTGATATAAATGCTATGTGCCCAGCACATAAACTAATCTGCTCAGTTGCCATAGTTCTGCTAATTACTTTGTAGAATTCCCAGGAGCTCCAGAAATAAAAGTTAATAGGCTGGAAGTATGTTGCAGTTAGGTCCAACTGAATGTTTTAAATTGCTACCATAAATTCAGAAATAAATTTTAGCACTAGAAACCCATGGAGTCCTTCCTGTATAAAGCCTATGGTAAAATGTGACTAAGTGGGACAGGAGTGGTGGAAAATGAGCCCTCAGCCAGGCCCAGTGAACCTCGGTTGAAATCAGTGACCTTTGAATTGAGGGTGTTCTGCCTCTGTAATGCTTCAATCAGGGCTCCCAGGGGCAGTGGGACCTGCTTGGAAGAGTAAAGGTGACCTGAGTGGCTCTCACCTTGCTCTTACAGTGCTAAGATGCTCCAGAGAAACAGCAGCAAGAGTTCTCCTGTGGTTCTGCTCACATGGAGATCTCAAAGTAGCTAGCAGAGAAACGTATCGCTTTTTGCTGCTATGCACCAGCATACACAGTGATACTCAGCGACTGTCCTCTAGGTGCTACTGCAACATAAATAATACAATGATATTTCTTTTTCATTAATAACCAGAGATCGTTTTATTCTATGGTATTATTCTATAGTATTGTTAATCATCTTTTCCACCACTGAAGCTGTAGGAATACAGGCAGGAATACAGGCAAGCATTACTTCTATATCGTACAAGATTGCACTGATTGCTTCATTTGTTTCTGTATCTCCTGCGTTGTGCTGAGACTTGCCCAGAGGAGCACTATGTTTGGCACCAGAACAGCCCAAACCTTCTGCTAAAGAGGAGTTTTAAAGAGCTGATCAGCATTTGCTAATACCTAACACAGGAACTGTTTAAAAAGCCTTGTTGTATCTGCACCAAGTCTGTTAGATTTGTTCTATTTTGATTAACAAAAAACAGATCAGTGCTAATAGTGGGGGGAAACCTGCCAGCTTCTCTTCTGGCAGGCTGGTGCATATCCCAGACTCATCTACCATGTGTTACAAAAGCTGACACATGAGGACAGCCAGTTATCCTGGCTTTGCTCTTCATTCTGATAAGCACAGTGAATCCTACCCAAATGGCTGGAATTGTCTTTGAAACTCCAGCATGAATTCTCTGATGGGCAAGAGGCTTATTGAGATTAACTCTGCAAGCAAGTAAGTGAGGTGGAAACTTAGACCCTGGCACTGTACTTAGCCCATGTCCAACAGACCCCTTCCCTCCAGGAAAGGTGAATAAATGTGGCAATTAACCCAGTGTCCCATTAACTAGCTTCCAGCCCTGTCTAGGCCATTAGCTTGCTGAACAGCCTCAGGCAATTCACTTTTCTCTGTCTGCACAGTTTTCTGGTATGTAAAATAGGATGGCAAACACCAGGTTCCTGGGCAAGGTGCTCTGAGGTCTCGGCACCTGCAGCAGCTACATGTAACCTGCCTGTTAAACCCATGTTCCTCTGTGGGACCTGGACATCTTTTCTCACAAGCTTGAGATCAGCCTCTGAGGTGCTAATGCAGAAGGATTCTGAAGTTACATATATGAATATGAATATATCTATATATATATGTGTAACTTCAGAACCAGATTATATATACACATAGCTTCAGAACCAGGCTTTTTTCCTCTTCTGTCCTGGATGTTCTTCTCTCCTGGATGCTCATCCTGTGGACAGGCAGGGTTTGCAATAGTGGCATTTTGGGGCTGTGATCTGAAGGCTGTCTACATGAATAGAATAGCAGCTGATTTTTTGAACTCCACCAGTCTGTCCTCTTGTAAAGTAAAGTTCCAACAGATTTTCACTTCAGAGGGTCAGATTTGCAGGTGTCCTAGCTGTGGTCATTGGGAGACTGTATTTCCATGCAGAGCCTGTGAAGGGGGCTGCTCCCCCTGTCAACACCTTGCATGGATCTCAAATAAGCATGTTGCTGCTTCTGTGCCTGTCTGCAGTTTCACTGACACTGCATACAGTCACCTTGCCTGGGCTTTTTACAGTGTGTTCCAACAGATTAGTCCTATGCATCAATAATGAGTCTTCAGCTTTAAGCACACTTCAAATCCCAGTAGCATTAGCAAAGGTTTCCATCACTTTTCCACAGAGGGAGTATGCCCTCTACTTCTTAAACTGGTCTTCAGTATCTCAGTGGGTTTCCTTGGTGCCTTTTCCCACCTCTTCTGACTACATTTCCTAACGCATATTTAACAAACTAAGCAAAATGTGACCCCAGGATTACTCCAGAGAACCAGATGAAATACAAGTTGTTATTTACAAGAATTCCTCTGGGGTTTTTTTAATCCTATGTTTTCCCTATAAAGCAGAGAGCTATAACTTGACTTGCTCCCAAGTGTACGGTAACACAAGGCAGTACATTTGTTTATTGTTACACAGGTTGATTCTTGATAGGGCTGTGAGGATATCAAATGAAGCTTATGTTCATGAATGGTAATTCATCCTTCACGTCTGTCATATGAGACACTGCTGAAAAGAAATCATTCTTCTCTGAAGATTTCAAATGACATTTTCAGTGTCGATGGATAGTACTTATGTAAGAGGTATGTTTGCAAAGGGAGGAAAAGATAATAAAAATGACTGCTGGTTTTATATTTGGAACTCTTAGAGCTGACTACATTCATGTAACCAGTGTAATTTGCTATGCCAAAATAAATAACGCTGGTGAAAAACCCCACGCAGTAACTGTAATGCAGAGAGTAGATATATTCATGCTTCTGCAAAGCACAGAAAGCATGTTATATTTGACAGAAACATTGAAAACAAATGTTTTATTTCTTACCTGTTTTCACCCCATACAAAAGGTAGATGAACACAGCGCACAGCCTCAGCATGTAGACTTCCACATGGAACTTCTGTGGGTAAAAGATTTGAAGGATCCCACAATTTCTTTGGCATGTGTCTTCCGTCTCTGACAAGTTTGCTCTCTTTTTTTCCTGCCAGTAACTGTAGGTGTGGTGAAAGGAGGAAGTTACCAGCAAAGAAATGAAGACCAGTCCTTAGTTATACAACCAAAGCTTCTTCTGAAAAAGGTGGGGCACCTTCTATTTTACCAGGTCTCCTTATTTTAAATCTACTTTGCTCTGGGAAATGACTAATCCAAGACAGAAATGGTTTGGTATCACACCGTAAGCAGCAATTTGACTACAGGTGTTGAAACTAAGGAAATTGTTGCATGTCTGTTGTGAAGAATGTCAATAGGCAGTGAAGATCTATGTGTCACTGAAAGTCTGATAAGCATCTGGGCAGGGCCAGCACTTGGTTTCACAGGGCTCCATGTTGTAGGATTCATGAGGATCCCTACTCTCCCATGTCCCTCCAGCTGTGCTGAGCACTGTGGCCCAGCATCCCTTCTAATCTACGAGACCCTGTTACCTCAGGCAGGAGGCACAGCCCTACGGTGTGACAAACAGAAGGTACCAGTTTGAGTCAGTCTGGGTCTCCATTGGGCTGCCAAGTGACTGCTGTGTTGGACGACACTACATCTGGCACCCTCACCACATTTTCTTTCAGACCTACTGGAACCTCATGAATCCAGCTCTAATTCCAGTAAGAAAGGGTGTTCTTTTTCCCCTGCTGGATGGAAGGAAGATGGCAGATATAAAGACCACTGTCAGGGGCAGGAAAAGAAGTCTGAAATTGGAGCTGGAGATCTGGTGGCAAAATTGGAAACACGAAGTGGTGGGAAGTTTGTTAAGAGGTGAGAGGAGAGGGGAAGAGAGAGCAGGGATGGCTGCTGTGTAGAAGCTATGTGGTAGCTTTTCCTAATGTTTCCTTAGCAAATTCTTTTAACACAGACCAGGGAAAGGGAACACAGGGAGGATGAGAAACTCCTCATTAAGCACAGGCTCTGCTTTCTTTCCCCCAGTGATGATCCAGTGAGGAGCTGAACTACTATAGTTCCCAGCGGCATCGCTGTTTCTTTGGTCCATCCTGTACGTATTAAGCTTTTTGACTTTGCTAATTCTTGGGTTAATCCTTAGCTCTGCCTGCTGGCTGGCTGGCTGCCGCTCCTTCTTGTTCAGACAAGTGTGTGCTGCTTGTCTGGTGCAGCTACAGGTTACACTGCACACATGGGTGCAAGCCCAGCAACACACATGCTCTCTTCACAAGCACCTTTAGCTCTCCATCCTCATGCAGTTCAGCAATCACAGTCTCACAGGACACGTGCCATGATGCCATTTGGTAATCACACAGGCAAAACTTGGGGTTTGTTATTTTGAAGAGGATAAACATCGAGAAAAGACACCAAAAAAACTTCTGTGCAGCCTGGAAGCTGCAGGCTCCAGGGAAGTGCTTTTTTTGATGCACTGGCAAAAGAAAGTAACTTGGAATATTGTTTTCTTTCCAGTTCCTTTCTCACCTCTACCAGTAATCCTAAACTCTGTCACAATATTTTCTCCTTAGCAAGTTCTGCCAATGGTGCGAAGGAACTGGTCCAACAGTGAAACATGCAAGAGGAACAGAAGGCTTTTACCTATTGCAAAAGACATGTCAGAATCAGAGATAAAATGAGGAGGAAATCAAGAGGGCCTTGCCTTTCTTCTCAGCACAAAAAGAGGTAACAATTTATTGCCTGAAGCTAAGCCCTGCTTGTTTCTTTTCCCCATTGCTTTCCTTAGATTCCCATCTCCCATCTCAGATGGCACATCCAAGTGGCTATCAATCCAGTAGGTGGTACACTGGGACTGGCAGGCTCTTCCTTGTAACTCTCAATCATCAATCATTCAATGAGTTTGAGTAACTACTCAAAAATATGCTATTTTTTTAGCATAATCAGACTGTCTGTTTGCAGCACATGTATTGGCAAACGTATCCAGCATGTCAGCATTGGAAATGCCAGTATTACCACCACCATCAAATCATGAGATGATGCATTCAAATAACCACATATATGTACAAGTTACTTCAGCTCTTGAATCCTGTTGACCAATCTCTCACGCCTGCCCCACACAGCCTTCCTCAGCCATATGCGAGTTAATGATGGGATATAGGGTTTTGCACACTGAACTCTAGGAATACTTCCTGGGATATAAACCTTCAGAGTCAGCAATGATCTCATTGTGAGTTTTGAAATCAATAACAACTGGAGACAGTAAAACCAACTTCTTTTATCACATGTAGAAAACATTTAAGATCAAAACTGGCACCAACTTAAGAACAATTTAACAGAAGATATGAAATAATTTTACATAAGAGAAACATTCTGGTATTAGCTCTGAGGTGTCAGGCAGCCACTATTACTTCACACCCATTATAGAAGCATTTTAAACTGTGTTTGGCCACTGTGAGTGGCAACTGTTTGAGCCTTTTTTCCTCCTTAGAGAAGCCTTTGGCAGCAATGGTCAGCTGAAAAATATTCTTTATATTGCATTTATGCATCCACTGCATGAAATCTCACTGATTCACTAGTTTCCCGTGGGGGGAACATTTTCATGGAGATACTGGAGAGCCAAATCTGTCCACTTCATTTCTTGCTCTTTCACAGACTCGGTTGTTCCGCCATTGTCTTGCTCTGGTTCAGGAAGCTCATTCTGAGAACAAAACAGAGGCATGCTGCATTCCACACATTATACGCTTCCTGAAAGGAGCAGGTTACTAAGACTTCATATGGGTAAATACAAAAATCCACGAACAAGACCAGAGGGTATATCTGAACAATACATATACAGACCGAGCCACTTAAAAATATTACTAAGCCCAGTTATGAACAATAGTCTCTTCACATGAACATGGTGCTTAATCTGAAAGGTAAATTGGTTTTCCAGGCCCCTAGGGTGTTTCTATACACTCAGACTGCACATGCAGTGAAGGAGAATATAAAGCAAATGCAAAACAGTAATAGTATGATGCAATTATTCTATTGCTCGTTTCCAATGTGTTTCTTCTGCTGTTGCCAAGAATACAGATACTGTATTTATTATAGCTCTTATTAAGATAACTGGTTCTGTAACATGTTACTTTCCTATGGCAGGTGAGAAATCCTTCCTCTTTCTGCATACAGAACTCAGGTGTGTCCTGTATCAACAGTAGAAGTCAGGTGCAACACAGAGCTGCTCACAACACAATAAGAAGGAGGTACAGTTTTACTGAGATTGCATTTTCCTCCCTCATATTGTTTGTTCTCTGTGCTGCTGTATTGGTGCAGTCACAAGAGTGCATGTTATTTCTGCTAGATACCATTTGGGCAAGAACTGGGAGTTCTAGATCTCTGGAAATCCCAGCATGAGCTCAATAAAATTTTTCAGTTTTGAAAGCAGCATATGGTTTGAGCCCATTTGAGTTCATAGGAATCTCTCAAGTGAGCACTGCGATCAGATGCTCAGGACAGGCTCAAATACCACTTTGCAGCCATTCTATTTGCTCCTTGACAACACCACTGAGTAAGACTCCTGTGATTTTGTGCTGTTTTTTTCTGTGTGATCAGAGCCAATCCCATCCCTAGGGATCTTTATATCCACATCCAGTCCTTTCTTTCTACTGTTAGTTGACGAGGCTTCCTGCTTTGAGGCTGCCATCTGTATGTGTCTGTAAGTAGCTCAAGAAATGGCTGTAAAGAAAGACACAGCAATGTCTGGGCACAGGGTAAAGGCAAATGTCAGCAAGGAACAAGTTTGTAATTACTAGCCTGTCTAATAAAGGTTATTCCAAGCAAAGAGGGGTATGGGCTCTTGCAAAACTGTGATTCTGAGATACAAGATCATTCCCTCAAGCCGAAATCTTGGAAGAATATAACTTATGTGCTCTATATATGGAGTTTGGAGGTGTGTAACTGCTCCTTGCCCTCTCTCCAAAGGCAGTGGTGTAAGGGCTAAAGCTTGAGCCATGTCACTAGCAATTTGGAAATGTCTCTCTGCTAAAAGAAACTAGCAGCCTATCAGTCCCCACAATCTTAGCATGACTGCTTTGTGAATGCTAGCCAGGGTAAAGCTTGTGTACCAGAGAGAAGAAGGAAAAGGAAAATCCTCAGATACCTCTCACTTCCCTGGTAGTTTCAAAATGGCTAAGGAAAGGTGTCACTGTGGGACATCTGAAGTTTCAACTGTGGCTTTATGGGATAAGCGGTAACCTTTTCCCAGCTGCACCTCTCTGGCCTTGCAGCTGTACAACAAGCTGTACACTGGATGAAAAGATAGGTGCTGTGCATTGGATGCAGCGCCACAAGTAAGAGTCCTCCTGCAGATGCCAGTTCGTTCACTAATATCCTTGAACTGGCCACAGCAACACTGTATCTGGAAAACACTCATTAGGAAGATATTTGAGAAAATTTCAGCTTCTTCTGATGGAATTTCAGAAAATAGAAACAAAGAGTAACCAAGACTGTCAGCATGAAACTGCTCCCCTCTGGTTATTCTAACCAACTGGGAAACCACTTCAAACACTAGTAACATGAAGGGGAAACACAGAGAGAACAGAATTCTACTCCTCCCTGATGCCAAACCCAGAATTGTGCCATGGGAAGAACACTCCAGTTCTGAGGAGATTCAGCAATTTCTCCCCACAGGGGAGGAGGGAGAGAAACATCCACATCCTCATATGCCCACAGGAATGACTAGCAAGAAAAGAGCGAGTCAGATCCATCCTGGGAACCTTTTGCACAAATAAGCTGTACCACAAGCAATACTCTCTGTGCCGTTTCTTGAAAGGGGCTGTGATAAACACACCAGTCTTAACTGTGATTGATAAGTGCAGTTCACCTACCAGAGGGATAGCTACATCCTCGTACGGCAATTTATCTTCCCTCCATGCATCGTCGATCAAATCCAGGATTCTGCCATCCCTTTGCACTTCGCTGTCCATCGTTGTAGGAGGCAAGTACAGCTAGATCTGTGAC